CAAAACCTCACATAGCTTTAAAAAAGGACTGGACAAAGCAATGGGGGAAAAAAATACCTGTAAAGGGCCAGAAATGTACTAACATCCCACCATTTTTGTTCTACAGAAAACACCTGATTGTTGCTAGAGGCTGGCACATTTTCTGGGAGAAAAATCACCACAAGCCTCCCTTGTTTTCATACTCAGCCTCTGCATTGCTGCTGCCAGCATCAGGGTGCTGGACTAGAGAGGGCTTTGACCTCACCTGCAGTCCATATGCTCATGCTATTATCCAAAAGTTTGTTCTCTTTCTCTCCGGATCGACCATGAGTAGATTAAAAACACCCTTGGATTTCACTGCTAATGCCCATCTGCAGAGGTCCCCTCGCTCATCTCCCCATTCCTTCTCCACAAACTGTTGCACCCAACTCTGGACACAGACATTAGTGCAGCTGGCTAGCACTAATCAGACTAAATTTCAGAAAACCGTCCACTGCAATTATTAAATTGCTAAACCTTTTAATAGCAGCCTCACTGTTTAATCTCAGTACATTATCAGATATAAAAAAATTCCTAAGTCCCAAATAATTAAACATGCAACATGTTTCAATACTTCTGCGTGAATAGCCTTAACCTTTTGTCGTGGTTTAACCCCAGCCAGCAGCTAAGCACCACGCAGCCGCCTGCCTACTCCCCCTGCCCCAGTGGGATGGAGGGGAGAATCAGAGGAGTAAGAGCGTGAAACACTCCCAGGTTGAGATAAGAACAGTTTAATAATCGAAATAAAATAAAGTAAAATAGTAATGATAATAATAACAATAAAATAATAGTAATAACAATATACAAAGCAGCGATGCACAATGCAATTGCTCACCACCTGCCGACCGATACCCAGACAGCTCCCAAGCAGCTATCGCTGCTCCCTGGCCAACTCCCCCCAGTTTATATACTGGGCATGACGTCATATGGTATGGAATAGCCCTTTGGTCAGTTTGGGTCAGCTGTCCTGGCTGTGCCCCCTCCCAGTTTCTTGTGCCCCTGGCAGAGCATGGGAAGCTGAAAAGTCCTTGCCTAGCATAAGCAGTGCTTAGCAACAACTAGAACATCAGTGTGTTATCAACATTCTTCTCCTACTAAATCCAAAACACAGCACTATGCCGGCTACTAGGAAAAAAGTTAAGTCTATCCCAGCCAAAACCAGGACACCTTTGAACCAAACCTGCAGGGTTTCTAAACACTTGAACTTTTACAAATGTTTGAAATCATCACATTTAAGCATTCTTGGAAAAACATCTCAAAAGGTGCTGGGTACAAGTTAATCTGACCAAAACACTAACTTTAAAAGAAGGACCCTTACAGCTGGGCTGTGGTCAAATTAATAAAAGGCAAGCCACAGTTATTACACATTTTCTGGGAGCTCTACCTCCAACCCCTCACCACCAAGCAACCTCTCTGCTTTTCATCATACTTATTTCTCTTTCTTCCAGCCTTTCTTTGTTACTTTTCTTCCCTTGTTTACACACAGCTTTCACACAAGACATTACCTATCAGGAGTCAAGAATTAAACTAGCAGCTCTCATAGAGCTCATCACTGTTTACTCCTGTGTTTGCACACAATAACCTGTACAGTTGAACGCAGAGAGAGCTCATCAATGTAAAGTTCATTCTAACAGCAAGGCAGCAATAGACATAATGAATGTGCTTAAGAACTATAAAAGGGAGAGAAGCTCCCTGTTCCCTCTCCCAGCAAAAAATATCAATGGGTACTGTACGGTGTGTGCAACACATTAATTCTCTCCACGCTGCTGCTTTGGACTGAAACCAAAGCAGTTCTGTGATGAAATTGGACACAAGGTACACATACTGCCTAAGATCTGGTTCCCTTTATCATGTCCTAAATTAATTATCCTGAATTAATTATCCAACAAGCTTGAGGATCAGCCTAACTCAATTCTGCATACAGTTTTTAGACAGACAAACAACAGTCCTACAGGATCCTGCTAGTGTCCTTTGGCATTCCACACTCACTTCCCAAGCACTGTGGTCTGCAGTACAGCAGTCCTTATAGCCAGGATGAACACAGACTGAATTGTTATAGAAGCTATTGAATGCCCTTCATTAAAGCTGACAGGTGAAGGAACAGCATTTCATCAAGTTTTTTTTTTTTAATATTATGCTTATATGATTCTTAATACATTGCACTGAATATTCCAATATTGATCTCCAGATACATCAACTGCACCGTAGCTTCCTCGGAAATACATTCAACTCTCCTGTGCAGGCAGATTCATGTAACAGAAGCTTCTTGGCTAAAACTTAACCACAAAAAAAACGCTCCTTTTTTTTTTTTTTTTTTTTTTTTTTTTCCCCCACAGACAGAATCTTGGATCTAAAATGCAGCATAACCATCATGCAACATGTCAGACAGGGAAAGCTCTCCAAGGAGACAGTGAAAGATGAGAACAGGCTTCCTCCTCTTCCTACAGCTCAATATTCAGTATCGTTTTGCTGTCACTTCACAGTGCTTTAACCAAAACCTGAGTAACGGCTAAAAGCAACACAAATCCTAAAAACAGCACACAAGCACGAAGCCCAGAAATGCAAAGTCCCAAGCACTGTGCCTTCCACTCATTCAAACTTGAGATCCTACCTTTCTATTTCCATTACCTACTCTCCTTAAAGGCTTCAACTGTAGTTGCAGTGAACACTGAACTTTTCCCATCTCCAGTAAACAATCCTTTTCTTCACATTAATGCAGAATCAGGACTATAACTTTATTTCCATTATCTCACAGTTGAGGATCCTGTTTACCAAAATATCTTCCTGATACGCACTTTGCAGTATTTTTTGACACACTTTATTTTTCAGCATATCATAGCTAAGTCATTAAAATGTCAGAATTTGGATGCTGCAGTTACATTTTATTTCTATTGTGGACAAATAACAGGCTTTCATACATTTGACTGCACTCAGTAAAATGACTCATGCTGCTTCATTTCAAGTGAAGGATTAGGAGTGGAAAACACACTAAATGAATGAAGATGGACTTGTCAGCATTTGCTAAGAAAGAAGTTGCAGAAGGATGGCTGAACTGCTGCAAATCAAAAGCTGCCATGCTAACCTGTTAGTGGATCCATTGTAGCAGTAGTTTGGAAGGAAATCATAATTGAGTTCCCAAAAGACATGAAGAGTAATTCGTCCATAAGGGGCTGACACGTTGTGATTGGCTTCTCTGAACATGGCATCAAAGCTGTCCAAGGTCATATATCTACTCAGAAGCTTGTGAGTCATTTTGTTGACCTCTATCAAGCCATCCAGCTCCTATAAAAAACAAGAGGAAAGTAAGTGAGCAGTGCATTTAATAAAATGGAGAAACTTATTAGTTAAACTACTAGTATTAGTTGCTTACTGAGGAAATCAAGCCATTTTCAGCAGAAAGTATTTTGCATTAAAAAAAAAAAAAAAAAAAAGAGGATGGTGGAAGAACAACATTTTAGTCCTGCCACTCAGGAAAGAGAGAGAACCTATGACCTAGGAAACACATCAACAGTTTCTGTTCACTTAGCTACTAAGAAAACCCTGCACATAACAAAGAAAAACTATGTTTAATTAATTCAAAGGCAATAACACCAAGCACTGAAAAGCCAGACTCCTGCACAGCTCTATGGCCTCAGTATTTATCTTCAGTAAAGAATGAAATGAAATCAAGGTAGTTAACTGTACGACAAAATCTCACAGGTAAAAAACTTATTATGGAAAGACCAATGGTAAACTTTCTTGCACAACTTTTAATTTTGTTTCATTCCAGCAGAACTCAATGTGTCTGATATTTTTCTTGTTGACTGCGTATTTACTTGTCAAATTCATGCTGCCTGGAAATAAAATTTGTTTGTTAGCATTTTAATGAGGAAACTTATTCAAAAGACACCTCAATATTGCACAGATGCTCTCTTTCCACAGGCACAAGTCAGATTTCATTCCTCCACAAAAAGATTATTATTATTTTGTCATGCTACAAAACCAAGCCGCCTGGGTAAAACTCATTTTGATTCTACCAGACACAGGGCTGTTTTGTTTTGGTCTGCAATTTATCTATATGCACAGACAAAAGTGGGCATTTACAAAAACTTAACACACAAAAATGCTCATTTTCCTTGTTTCCATATAGCCCCTGGTATATGCATTCTCTATAGGTGCCCTCACTTGCAGCATGTTTATTTTTTCTGGACAAGGAGAGAACAAGATTCTCAGCCTCAACAGGACTGGGATTTGCACAGTCCCATGTTCAATAGCGTGCTCCGGAGTACTGTGTCAGGCCAGGCCAAAGCACAGTTTGAACAGAGATGCAGGTTAAAGTATGGGGTGAAAAAAATCATAGCACATCATAATCAATAAAGTCCACAATATACTACAATGGCAACAGAGGATTTGCCAGTATAATTTATGGTGTAGCTGCAGGTGACTAACTACACTACAAAAAAATGCCTTTTGCAAGAATAAGCTGCTTCTCTGGTAAGGGGTTTTGTCAATCTAGACCTAGTAAACCAGACAAACTTCAATCATAGCAACATACAATTTCATGCTTACAGAAAAATGAAAACAAAACATCAGAGTGAAAAGGTTTTTTATTTTTCTAATAAGACTGCTTAATTTCTTTCCTGCTTGTATATATATTTAACTAAGGTTTGGGATAAAACAAGTTTGCCTGTTAGTCATTCAGCCTCTTCTCCCTTCTGTATTGACTGCACAACCATTCGTTTGAGAGAATACCTAGAGGATGTCTAGCAAAACCTGAGAAAACTTTTTTGCTTCTGCCATTTAAAAACAAACATGGATTTATAATGGGGAGAAAAAAAAGGGCTAGATGTCTATCAGTCTCAATGCAAATAAAAGAAATAAAAATTAAAACATAATATGAAAAAATTAAATTAAATTAAGTTTAAAATTATAATAATAATAACAAAAAAGAACTAGCACTCTAGACTCCTAACTGCAGTGTTAGTGCTCTGGCAAAACTACAACACAACACTCACCACAATGGAAGTCAAATCCTCACTTTCAAATCGACCAATTGCCAGTTCCATTGACCTATACATGGCTGCTGAAATTCGCTGAGTGATCAGTCGGTTCAGGTCTATTGACCTACCAAGAAGCTAAAGAAAAAATGCCATGAAGTTTTGAACTGAAAGTCAAATTACGAGACAAACTGTAGAAGGACTATGAGACTCCACAGATTAACAGACTCACACATGGTGAACTTGCATTCCAAACACACAGAAACCAAGCAGATGGATAAAATTTACAAATTCATGAACAAATTAAGTACTACAATTTACATCCCAGTTCTCACAAAAACAAGTAAAAACACATGTCGCATTTACATCTCGCATTTACATCTAAGTATTTATATCAGCATTTTATGCTTCCATGACATGGTGCCGACAACCTATTGAAAACTGGTGAAAGTTTTTATTATTAATTTTTTTTTTTTTATTAGGAAGACAATTATTCCTTCCATTATTAGGAAGACAACACTACCACATGTGACATTCCCATTTGGCTTGTGTTTGCTTAACTGCAACAGCCATTTGCATTAAAACAGGATCTTTTAAGTTTTTTTTCTTAATTTACTCCTTCATATGACAAAAAAGCTGATTCTCAAATGTCAGTTATGCCACTTAGATGACAGGACATAAAGCACACAAAGAGTTTTATATACCTATATAAATCAACACCATTGGAAAATCACCAAGCAACTCAAATACAACAGCGTATGAGTTAACTCACTTGGACATGTCTCTGTTTCAGCAGTGTCTCGTAGCGATTGGACTGTAGCAACTGAATGGTTGCTCCCTGATTCTTGCATTCCGAACGTAATCGTTTATCCAGAAGCAGGCTATTAAGAAAGGAAGAAAACACTTAAGTCTATTAGACAGCAAAGCAGAGCAAAAATGCATGAATAAAAGTTCTCACTAGTGGAACAGCTACCTGCCAGCCATTGCCTTGTAGTACGCAAATATTTGGTCTGCCAGCTTGTAGACAAATTGGTCAAAACACAGGTTTACCTTGGGAAGAAAAGAAATCATGCATTTAGGGATACTTAAAATTAAGAGGGGAGCTTATCCAAGACCTCCCACTGTTTAGCAAACATAGTTAAGAAAGTTAATGCATCCAGATTTCCCAGTACAAGAGAAGATGACATTCAGTCTTCAGCATTAGTGTGAGGCATTTTGCACAGGTCTACAGGTTTCTTCACAATATATCACCCAACCAGTTACCCATCTCTGGTCTTTCTTCTCAGTTTGTTTATCTCCAACTGTTCTGAATCTCTTATAATAGGTCTTGCCCTTTAGCATCATTTTCACATTGAAGTACAGACTATTTTTCTCCAGTAGATAAGGTTACTTTACCTCTGCCTCAATCTCATCATAGAGGAATTGCTTCTTAAATTTAGTAAGTGCATAATGAGCACTGTCATTATAAAGGTCCAAAGAATACAGAACATACCTGAATGAAAAAGAATAAAAAAATAAAGTTACATGTCTGTAGAAATTATGATTCTTTAGGATGGTATAGTCAAGATGTTGTGAGCCAGTCAATATTGTAATTGTAATTGTTCATGCAAACAGGATCAATTTTTGAGTTTATATAAAAAGAATCACACCTTCTTTAAGAAAGTCTTTTGTTAGTTCAAGAAATTGTATAAATAAGTTTGCAGTCTGAAACTTGTTTTCTAGATGTAGCTTTCCATCAAAATGGAACCATGCTTTTACCACTATGCATTATATTTGACATCTTTGAGGAGCAAGTAAGGAGAACTCACTCAGGGAACAACATATTTGGCTGGTGCAATGATACTTACATGAAAGGTTTCTTATTTCAATTATTCACTTAAAAAAGAATCTGTAAATCACTAAATGTAAGAGGAAAAGTGTATGAAGGTTTAGAATACCTTCTCAGTGACTGCTTGTTAAAAACAATTAAAGCAGTGACATTGTAATACGGAATGACAATCATTAAGAATAATCATTCAACTGAAGAGCAGAAGTAGGTCTTACTCCATCATTGATGCCTCTTTGGTCTCCAAAATATGGTCCGTCAGAATCCAAGGCATGGACATCTCAATGGGAAACTGGATTCTTCTGCCCATGGTCAGTTCTAAGAAGAATTCCCTGAACCACAGCTGGGACAGATCACAGCATTGCTGCAGGGTTTCTTTCAGAATAAATAAGGAAGAATTACACTTCTTACAGAAATACATTAAGAACAATACAACTGTGATTCTGATGATGCAATGTGAAACAAAAAAGCAGGTGTGAGTCACTAGAGCTATACATAGGCCAAATACGTAACCCAAATTCAAAACGTAAAGCCCATGACTTTTTCAAAGAGTTCTGACCTTCACGTTGGCCCCCAAAGTGGTGCCTTATTACAGAAAAAAGTGTGGAAGTGGAACAGACTACCAGTTAAACAGAAAAACTATGTACACCAGTAAAGGGGGATTTCTAGTTTAATTTCTCAGTTGGGGGCTGAGAAAGGCATGCACTGAACTTGGGAAGCAGCAGGCGAAGAAGACAAAATTGTACCAGATCCACCATCTCTCCCTCTGGAGGACTGAATCGCTCCACGCAATCCTGTTGGTTAGATGGGCAGGAAATGGCAGACAGACACATGAAAACGGGATTAAAACAAAAAGTTTCTAAGGCCGCTGTCAAGGACGTGGAGGTGTGCTTCCCACCTCTCCAGAAAACACTCGGCACAAGCCTCCTTTTGCAGAAGGCTTGAGAACTAAAATGGGAATGAACTCTTTACATTAAGTTCCTCTGAAGACCTTTTGAAGTGCTGTTCCCCAATAGCATTATGACTGACATTAGCTCCCCCTTCCCTGAGGGTAAAGGAGTCCATTAGCAAAACAAAAATGAAAGACAACACAGCATGGTGATGACAAAGACTAGATACATTCAATGTCAGTAGGTGAATTCTTTAGGACAGCATGTTTCCGATTACAATTAACTGAATCGTAAGAGTAGTGAAATGACATCAAATTTACCACAACAGAGAATTTGCTTCCTCTGTACTTAAAACAAAAATGAAAAAACAAAAAAAACCCAAAACACAAAAACTACTTCCTTTTTAAAATGTCAATGTGTATAGGCTTATCTGTCCCTTGTTTATATAAATAAGTACATAAAAAAATAGAAAAGGGAGGTAACAATATGAAATTTGATGCATTATAAACAAATGTATAACAAGTGAAAATAAAAATCCCACCACAATACAGAACATCACCTCTCAGAAAAAGTTTGGACAGACCAAGGCTTTTGATAAATAAAACAAAGGTAAGTTGGCTTAGGCAATCGGAAACATTTTCCAGTTCGTGTTAGAGGTGTTAGGACATGCTAAGCTGGACACTGATCATCTACATATCTTACCACTGAAATTTATCAAATGAGTGTAGAAGAAAGACTCGCGATGGAATTTTTCTATGTCCAATATGGTGGGCCCCTCAAGGCTACTTCTCAAGGTTTTCTTGGAACCACTTTTGTCAGCAATGAGGGACTCTAACATAGTTCTCACCATGTAAAGCTGTATCATTAAAGGAAACAATTGTGGTGGAAAGGGGGGGAAAAAAGGAAAATACACATGGTACATTAGTTGAGCAACACTGAGAATTACTATCAGTAAGCGACTGCTCCACTTCAAATTGAAAACTGGCACTGTGGGGGTAAAAGCCTTTCAGGCAAGAGGAACAGATGCATCGCTAGCCTACGCACCAGCACGAATGCCTGCCCATGCCAAGGGGACCTCCACTGACACTTAGCAGCAGACCATCTACAGTGGAACAGTTCACATCGCCACAAAAGTAAAAGTAATAAGTAATGTCTTACCACCAAACTCTAAAAGAGGTGGATAGATGTAGGACTGCCTCAGAAACTTGTGTGTCACATGCAATAGCTTTTCCAATCCCAGAGACTTGAGCTGCTTCAACAGCTCAGCAGAGTTTAAGGACTCTGTCATAGTGCGAACCATGTAGAGCTAAAAACCAACAGACAGGGGCAGGCAGGGGAGAGAGAATCCGTTAATAAAAAACACATGGGTAAATAAGGAAGGGGAAAAAGAAGCAGAGAAAATGTGTTAGTTTGTTAAAAATGAAAAGTAGCACAGTAAGCATGCAGAGGAGGACATACAGAAAGGTTTCTTCATTCAGAATAATCACTGCAATCCAGTGCTCCCCCAAGCAAAGGGAAAAGCTCCCATTCATTACAGAGGATGCTCAGAGAGCCATTAGCTTCTCAAATGATTTTGCAAAGATTTCCAAGTATTACTAATTCATACGCAGCCATTTTATAACTGCATGAAACTGAAAAAAGCCTATCTAAAAATCGATATATTTGACCTCCCTTCCTCCTGTCAGCCGAGACAGACAAGTGTGCCAGCCCAAGAGCAGAAAAAGCAGACAGAACTGTGTACTCTAAACAGCCTGTTGCAGCCAGTGAAACAAAGCCCTTAAACATACCAAGCACAGGAGAAGCACACTGGTGGTGATATTTAATTTTTTTCTACCCAGAAAATTAGAAATCAAAACATTTTTTTCCAATTCCCAAAACAAAATCTTTATTAAACCCATCTTGGCACAGTTTAAGCACTTTTTATTACCCAAGATTATTATCCATACATGCTCTCTTCCCCATAGATTAAAATATTCTATTTACAAACCGTAGTTGCTTTCAATTTTTCACCCCAAGTGCTCAGTACCTCATTTTCTCAGATGAGCTATGAATACCAGACCATACATTCTCCAAACAAATTCACAAAGAAAATAAGAGACAACTATGTGGAGGTAACAAGAACAACCATCTAGGTATGGGATTTCAATGACTATCACAGAAAACACACTTGAAATACCTCTTGTTTTAGTGGCAGCAGCAGATTTAAATAGGGAGCAGTTTTATCATTCATTACTGAACAGTAGGAGGGATCTTGCCAGAAGTCAAATACTTTCCCATATTCTACAGACGACCATTTATATTTTAAATGTATTTTAAAACTACATAGACATGTATTGAATAATGGGGTTTAACAAAAAAAAAAAAAAATCCACCAGCCATACCAGAGATGGGAGTCAGTCAAGAAATAATTCAAGTAGTTCAAAAATAATATTTAAATAACATTAGGAGCTCAATGAGAAAATATTTCTTCCCACTAAGTCAAATTAAAGAGATTGAACACTTGGAAAAATTATGCATCAGAGTAGACAGTGACAGCAACCCAGACAGAGGGTTTCGGTTAAGTATATATAATTTTGTAAATATAAATATGATCAGAGTAGATTTGGAACATTAAAAGAAAAAATGATCTCGCAATTTTTAAATTTTAAATAATTCAGGCCAGTGAGAAAACATTTCATGCAATAATTGTTGACAGATATCACAACCACCAGACAGGAAAATACCTGCGTGCTGGAGGGTCCCACTGCACGCCTTGGGACCTTGATGTCAAAACCACTTTTGGGGTCCTTCTCTCCCCTTAGAGCTGGGTCATTGAATGGCTCGTGACCAGCTTCCCAGTCACAGACTGTCTTTCTGATGGCCTGCAAAACACTGAACACAATTCACACTACTTCAGACCAGCATGCATCCAAGCACATTCAGGAGACCATTCTGCTTTTTTAATCACTCTTCCACAAGCACAGAAACTTTGCAACAGCATTCAGGAGCTCAGACTAACTCAGAGCAACTGCAAACGATTTCACGAACACATTAAAGAATGCCACATGCACGAAACAATCGCTCCGTGCTGTTTATCAGAAAGGATAGTCCAGAGCGCTTCTCCTCTTTCAGAAGAAAGCTGACCTCTGAAATTGGTTCGCCAGAGACAAAAGTCATTTGTCAAGAATTCACCCTCTGGGATCCTTAGCAAGTGCATCAAGCCATTTTGTTCTCCTAAACCACAAAAAGCAGATAATTCAAATCAAAACAAAGCAGATTATTAACCAAACTAAAGAGAGACAATTCAGGCTTGAAATGAAGAGAAACAGTAGAATTCCTGTTTCCAGCAGAACTCCAGAATTCAGCTGGAATTTATACAAACAGCCTCATACTTCTAACTCCAAATAGTGAACTGGACTTCAGATACTTGTCAGAAACACAGCCTGCCATATCCTGTGGTGTGCTGAATGATCAAAGCCAATGTCTTCTCCCAAATCCAGGCAGGTATGAAAGTAACAGTTCCCTATTTCATGGAAGTCCCTGGGACAAAAAGACTCCCCCTGCAAACTTGGTAATTTGGAGTAATTTGTTTATTTTTAGCTTATGATGGTATTTTTGTGGCAGTCAGAGCATTTAGCAACAGCCTAATTAGCCAAAGACTTTCACTTCTAAGAGCTTTGCAATGAAATGTGGGAGTAAACAAAGAGTAAACAAGACAAGATTAAAAGCAAACAGTTAGGGACAAAAAATAAGGTTGGGTAATGCCACCAATCAGTGTGGGCAGATAAAGCACTTGGAAGAGAAGTGTAAGACTAATAAGCCAAAAGCAGGAGAAGCTGAGAAAGAAGGCAGGATGCTAAGGGGGCACAGATAAGACCATGGGGTGGAATGTAAACATGAGACACAAGGAGAGGAAACATTGGAATCATAAGGAAGGTGGACAGTTAACACCTTTCTTCAAAATAAAAATACTAGTCTTGCTTGCAATATTACAGTAGTTATCTTTCCTTAAAATAAAAATAAAATACAGGTAACACAAGACTTCCTGCAGTAGTCCTAGTGGCTCAAGATAGCTTGGACTCTTACTGTAACCATGTTGGCAGTCATTCAGTTTTGACTCCTGACTTCAGACTTCTTCAACCTCCGACACATATTCAACCAAGCTACCTTTGAATACCAGACAGACTAGTAGGGGAGTACAGACTTAAAGAGGCGAATTTAACAGCTGTGCAATTCTGGAACAAATTTAGTAAGATTTTGGGGAAAAAATACAGAAGATGAAAACAAGAATGTTACCTCTGAATGACATTTTTCTTCTTTTTAATGGCTTGTCTTAACGGCTCTCTAAGCGTGACCTGCGCAAAGTCTTGAAGAGCTGCATAAATGGTATGGCGAATGGCATGATTGAAAACACTTTCCATCCTTCCCATCAGCACCTGAAGACCTTTGATCATGGCAATCACCTAAAAAAAAAAAAAAATTGTGTATTTTTTCTTATTTTGTTTCTGTAATTTTTCAAAAAGCCCTTTTTAAAATACAGAAAATGATAAAAGGGGAATAACATGTTCCAAAAGATAAAGAATTGTTTTCCTGTGCTGCTCCTACAGACTGAATGCAGGAAAACAGGCTCTTTCAGAGTCAACACGGGGCATGCTGTCTTTTTGCACTGGGTATAGAAAATGCTTATAGGCAATGTTCTCCTTTGTATAGAATTAATCTTTGGAAAATCCCTGTAAAAAAAGATTTATCTTACCTCAACCAAAGCAAACTTCTCCTCACTAGTGTAATTGTATCTTGTTGCTCTTTCATACTCTTCCGCGTTGTCAGGACAATCTTTATTAGAATATTTGTCAGTTGGGTGTACCAGTTTCCACGAATACTGCAGTTCACACAGCAGAATAGGG